TGAAGAGATCTCTAGTCTTCCCCATTCTATTGTTTTCCTCAATTTCTTTGCACTGTTCATTTATGCACTTCTATATCTTAGGGCAATTAAAGATCCACATCCTTATCTCCATCCTAAATTTCTTCTCTGGCAGTTTCATAAAATGATTCTGAATTCTAGTACTTAAGAAGAAGGAAAACCTGATCTAAATTTTCCATACCTTACAGGATTTTGTAATCTACTTTTATGCCTTCCCCTTATCTGCCTTTTTTGAAAGCTCCAAGAATTGTAGCTTTTGTAGGGAAGACCCTAGCAGCAGTTCCTCCTCCCAGTCTAAAGATAGGCACTACCATCATTCCATTTTATCCTTCTAATAATCTTGGTTAGGCTATAGAGGGGCTATAGATATCAAACTTTGCACACAGAAGGACCCAAGCTCAATCTCTAGCAAGACCCATTAATAAGACAAATTGATGGAGAAAATTGCAGCCTGAGATCCAGTTTAAGTATACAGTATTGAATTGGAAGAACATGACTTGCAATACAGCTACTGTATATAAATAGGGAGTGACACTCTTCAGGGTACCTAGTGAACTTCATAGCGGAGGGGAATATGGACCCTATAACACATTAATAATTATTTCTTCTCTGATCATACCCCAGTGATGTTCAAACAATTCTTCTGCCTCTGGGTGACCACAACTGATGGGAATAAAGTTAAAGTTTATTGTTCTTGATTAGAATGGATATGGCTGTCTTCCCTAGCCCTGTGCCATTGGCCAACTTCGCTGGAGGACATTGGATCAGAAATCCAAAACATCGGGAGGAAAAAAAATTGAGGAATGCTCCAGAGCAACCTTCTCTAAACAAGGTCTTCTAGATGTGTTGGGATTGCTATTCCCAGAGTTCCCAACCAGCAATCTTAACACATCTAAAGTGAACTAAGTTAGGAAAAGTTTGAAAACTCCATGTGTTAGAATATGGCTTTAATATTCCCGATTCACATTTAGAAAACAAACTTTGCTGACAATGGGGAGCTGTTTTATAGAGATGAAACCAAGGAATAAACTTGCAAATACCAAGCAGAAAGGGAGGAAAGAGATTAAGGTGAACAGAAAGGTGGGTGTTAATGACTGACCACAGAGCTAAAAGCTACCTTGTTGATTCAACAAAGCAGTAAAAAAAATAATAAATGTAAGATTTAGTTGGCTTGAAATCCATAAGAAACACAAAAGTGTGTTTAAGAAAACCTGCCTAGCTAGTTAACAGCAATATAAAGCATCATAGTCATAAATCAAAACTAGAAGAGAAACTCATAAATGCATCTGTGTCTGAAATAATCAGTGTTGAGTTTGGCAGGACTTGGCTGTACTTTTCAGTTATAACACCAAGTGTTAACAAGAAAAATGGAAAAATGAGGAAAACAGTATATTAATATACATTTTATAAAAACTTACTTGACTTGAAATACACAAGTTAATGCCATCAGAATAAGCATAAGATAGAAAATAGGGTATGTTAACTGCATGTTCCCCTTCACAGAAAATGTCAACATGGCTGCCACAGCTTTCACTGAAATGATGGTCAGAGATACTGGAGAAAAATAAAAACAAGCCGATTCAAACAGATAATTAATAAATATGATTTTATCAGTCAACCAATTATGAGAAATTGGTAAGTATGCTCATATATTTATCAAATAATAATAATTACCAATGGCCTTGTACTGAAAATATTTAAGAATTTATCAACACAGAGATGGTAGCTAATTACATATGAAGAGCCTCTTTTATCTAAAGTAGGTGAAACATCAATATGGGGTTGAACTAAAATGAACACGTAAAACACCAATGGATATTGCCAACATTGAGCAATGGGCAAATTGAACTTATATAAAGAGTATTGTATTTCTGTAGATATGTATACAGTACGGTTATAATGTCTGGATCAATAAATCTTTGGATTTTGTATCTATTGAATAAATAGGTTTTCTTTGTATGATCAGCACATTTTACAAGTTCCCCTATAAGTCCCTATAAGTCCTAGTCTTTCTTTTTCACAGTGGCATAATTCATCTAATCATGCCGCTGAATTCATTTAAAGAACAAAATGATCTTTTGTCAGGGTACATAAAAGAAAACATAATCTTGTTCATTCCTAATTCTCTGCCCAGCCTTCCCACACCCATAAATTATACCACTAATATATGCAATATGTGCCTCTTTGTTAAGCCTACTTAGATATTAACTGAAAAATGGTATTTTTCCATAATACAGCACAACCATTATACGTGTGTATATAATTTGTGGTTGCCCTTTTATTCACAGGGGCAATTTCAGATGTTTGGCACTGTTCTGAAACTCTTTTGTCCATCATGAGAACCAAGGTGAAATAACAGAGGGTAGACCTCAGCAAGTTAAAATGTTGGCATTTGGCTTTGCGGAACGAGAGTCAACTGATGTAATTTTTTTCCCAATAAAACTTGCCACTTCCATTCTTCCTGCTGACAGATATACTGCTAGAAGGTGAAGATATTAAAACTGATGGCATTATCAGAAATGGTAAGACCATTTTCACCCTTATCAGGCCTAGGGAGCCCATAAAAGCATTTAATATTTAAATGCAGCAATTATTTTTCTGTTCTGGTTAACATGGAACCAAAGGAGGATGAATTGGGTTGTGGACTCTGATAACAATTTCTACTTAGCTGTGACTGCAGCAGCTGAAAAAAAAAAGATGACGTCACTTCCAAAAGCAGAACACACAGAAATCCTTTTCATTCTCCCTGTTTTGCCCCTTGAATCTAACCATATTATAAATCCCAGATTAAGCATGAAGCAAGATGCTGTGCAGTGAGTCATTTTGCAGAGCTGCATTGCCCAAACCATCTACAGATTTGTCCAAACTCTTTTCTAGTCTCATTCCAGGAAACATAATTTTTTTTCATGCCTATGAAATACAGACCTTATTAAGGCAAGTGGGTCAGATATAAAAAGCTTTCTTATTTTCTCCCATTCTCCTTGCAAAGGCAATCGGTACATATGGAGCATGAAAGAAAACAGAAATAAAAAAGTCTTTTATAAACTTTCAGAAAATACTTCTGTGACAAGCTATCTTTCCAAAGCCATTTGCTGGTTCAGTGTCATTCTGGATGGTCTGGACAGGTAGCTGATCTGAAATGTTTTTTAAGGAGAATTAGATAAAGTTTTAAAGATGAATTCACAGCAGTTGTGATGCCAGGTATACAGTACCAGCTTTCTCCAGACTGGTAACCCATAGGATGGGATGGGATTGTAACTCTTGTTATTCTCAGCCAGCGTGGCCAGCAAATTCTCTACCACAAGAGATGCAGTTATAAGAGACTTAAATGTCTGTAAAAACATTTGGAAATGCTTGTAATATTGCATCGTACATTGCAATATTGTACGTACTGTATGATATTGTAAGACCAAATTCAAAGTATCCAAATCCACCAGCAGAGTAGCATGTGATCTCTTACAAAACATATTAGAATGTTGTGTGAAACATAATCCATGGATTAAACTGAATGCAAGCAGGGAACCATAATGTGCAAATGTGAATGATGTAAAATTGTTGCCTAACGTTGACCATGGCAAACTGAGCCAAAACAAGTACTCTTATGGGCTGTAGCAGCTTCCCCCAACCCTGTGTCCTCCAAAGGTGTTGGATTACAATTCTTGGAATTCCTGGGTACCATAATCACATTGACCTATGAATTCTGGAAGCTGAATGCCAATACATCTGGTACTAGATTGGGGAAAGCTGCTATAGCCCATTAGGACCTTTATTTGTTTTGGCTCAATCTGCTGAAACCAACCTTCAGCTCAGCACACCCTGCAATGTGCATCTAGGTTCCCGAGTCCCAGTCAGTGCCATGTATTTGTGTGGGTTTAGCTCATAAGAGTCCTCCAGGGATCTAGCTGATTTTCTAGGATGACCAACAAAATCATGTTTCACCTTGAGTGTGCCATGAAGAATACAAACAATTGCACGATCCTGAATTGTATATTTACTTTAACTGTGAACAGAAAATACATGTGCAAATGACAGCACATGTCTCATGCTGCTCATATAACCACATGGCCTATACATGCTTTTGCTGAAAGTGCTTAATAGACTCAAGTTTTTCTTATGACTATGTGGTTTGTTTCAGCCAGAGCTGGTAAGAATTTCTTTCTGCATTAACAGAATGCCACAGAAACTCTAATTCACTCCTCCTGAGAGGAAATGGGAAAGCTTCTTAAGGTATAAACCCTAGAAACCTAACCAAAAGCAAGTTCACAATGCCCAGCTTTACACAGGTAAGACTACATCAACAACAAACACCTGGAAGTTCTGATGCTACAGCATCAAAGCTAAGCTAATGTGAGGCTCATGAATCCCATCTAAACAGAAATGTCCTCCAACCCTGGTCCACATAACTGCATGATTTAATAATAAATACTGTTATTGCCAGCTTTCCGTACACTATGGAAAACTGTGAGACATAGTTTGACAGGAAATGCTCATGAAAATAGTGACACTGAAGGAGAGGGTAAAGCTTCCATTTAGAAAGCACGTTTAGCAGCCAATATGATCTCTGAATAAGCACTATGGCTGGCAGCTAAGTGCTGAATTTGACTGCAAACTGTCCTGTATACAATCTTTCTCTGGCTATATAGAAAAATGTAAAGATTGTGATTTGGCTCAAACACACTTTCAGAGCGGGTGAGCAGGGTTCTGAGCTGATAGTGGTGACTGCAGGTGGTCAATTCTATTATTTTGTAGAGGAGCTCAAGGTGGCGTATATAGCACTTCCTCCTACCATTTTTCCTCACAACAATAACCCTATGAGATAAATTGGGCAGAGAGAGGGATTGGCCCAAATTCACCCAGTGGGCTTCCATGGCCCAGGGAGGACTAGAACCTAGGTCTGCTCCTACTTGAACACTTTAAGGGATGGACTCACTGGCCCAAAGTCATCCAGTGAGCTTCTGTGATGGAGGGGGACTTGAACCCTGGTCTCCCCAGTTCCAGTCTTAACACTACACTATGCGGGCTCTGAGTATTTCTGAATGTTCTTATATAAAAACCTATAGGAGCATTGAGTAGAGACAGAGGACAGGAATGTTCTGTTCAGGCTCCCTACCAATTTATCACCAGCCACCAAAATGTGGTAAATCGACAAAATACCAGTGTGCATGTACTTAGCACGAAACACAAGATGAACTACATTCTTACCTAATAGTGCTACCATTGTTAACAAAACTACAATGTGCTTTGCTTCCCTTCTCTTGTAGAAATACAAAAGAATGCAGAAAGTTATTATTTCCACGATCTGAAAATAGAAAGGATAACAAGCTTAAATTGCTAAAAAACCAAAAAAAAAAAGTTTCCCACAAAACTTTTAACACAATCTAGTTTCCTCTTTTAAGATGAGTAAGAAGAGTAACATCATCACCATTTATCAAGTAATTATCTCCATAAACATTTCCAAGGGCTAAGATAAATTCCCATTTTTTCCTATGTTTTCTTACCCTTTCACATGCCTTGAAAGATTTAAACAAAGGAAGGAGCAGTGGGGGCAGGGGAGTTTTGCTGTAATAATCTCGCAAACAAAGGCATCCAAGTTTAATAATACTGAGCCATAAGTGTACCTAGCCATCTTGGTTAGGAAAGGAAACAAAGAAGGCCAGCTATAATCTAAATGCAATGAGAGCACTCCTGTGTAAGTAAGCTGCAGATTCTAATTCCTAAACTATGGCCTATTTTATTCATCATTCATATTAATCAGCTACCTTCATTTCTTCTTAAACTCTAAACAATAAAACACAGAATAAACTTATAGTTCAGTTCAACACACCTGCAATGCATTTGTAACCATATGCTGGCTTTCAATCATTGCCTAGCCAACTACCTGTCAAAAGGTTGCATAAAAGAAAAATATACCAGCAGGGTTTAATCGTATGCTAAGGGGAGGCTGCTTTGAAAGACATTTTACAGATGGGACTGCCTTAACACTACATATAACCTAGACCTGCAGTTTCACAGCTAACAGCAACATCCCAATCTGCATGACATTCCTGCTCAAAGTAGTTTTCATCTGGGTCATAGATTGCTCTGGAATTAGCTACTGAATTTCAGCCTTCACCAACCTGATCTCCTCCAGCTATGTCGGTCTATAACTCTCACACACACAGCCATGCTGGCTGAAACTTATTGTACTGGATGATGTACAAACCCAGAGGGCACCAAATTGGGGAAGATGGTTCTACAGAGTAACTTTACAGCATTAGTGTGGAGATTCTGGAGTAGCCCTAGTAGAACAAGGCCATACACTTACAAAATTCTCTTATGGAGTCCTCGATCTATCAGGAAACTGCCTTAACCAGGCTTGCACATTTAGCACAAATCTGAGCAGTTGGGGTAAGCAACTCTTTTAAGTTCTCAGAAGCATATCTTTTCTGTCACCAACCACCTGATTCTCCAATACCTGGAGATGCCTGGAATTGACTCTGGAAACATCTGTATGTAAGCCAATGCCCCAAGTTATGATTCTTCCTTCTTGGGCACTGTGCAAAACAAGAAGAGGAGGACATGGGTATTCATTAAATGTCCATCCTCTCCATGCTCTGGAGTTGACCTATGCTTCTGAACTATAGCCAATAAACTACTTGCCACTTCTACTAATGGACAGCTTGTTTACTTCTGGTCCAGATGAGTTTCACATGTGTTCTGTCATAAATCTGTTCCATCCCATTTTCCAGATTCAAAATACGCATGAAAATTTAGATTTAAACTGTATGCATTTTCTGCTAAAGTATGTTTTTGTATGTGTTTTTGAGCCAAGAACTCCACTGAGAAATTCAGAGAAGTGCACAATTCAAAGATAACTGTTTTTGAACTGCATATTAATATGTGAAATGCAAATCATGCAGCTTTGCTCTTTAAAAAAGATCAATTAGGTTCATCAGCATCCTGAGGCACTTCTTACTTTAGGGTTTTCAACATGTATTTTAATAGCGGTGTTTAGAAAAGAAAAATCTGAATCAACGCAAGGGCTATAATCATTCACTGTCCTAGTTTTCATAAAAGAGCTGCTGCTTCTCCCTTCTTGTCCTTACTTCCATTTAAATAAATTTACTACATTTACAACTATATCTCTATTGTGTGCGTGTCTGTGTGTGAGAGAGATTCATTTATATACATTTGGTGCCACTTTAATATAAAAATCCATTTGTAGTATGAAAAATGAGTGGGTAAGCAATCCCAAATTTTCTTTTGCTCCCCCAGCCTCAAGTCATTTTTCAGCTGAACTTCATACAGTTTGTCCCAGAGGCAACAGAAATATAAATCATACTTGCAAAGCAATTTCCCCCATAGCAAGATAATAGACACTGGAGGGAAAGCCTTTTTTTTTTTCCTTTTAAACAAAGACTGATTTCATGTACATCTTTCAACTCTTTTAGATAGGAAAAGCACCATTCTCACTGTTATTTCTTCTTAGAACCATTTTTCTTAACAAATCATGGTCTAGCCATCACAAATCATAGAGGATGAAGTTTGCTCTCCATCTTTCTTCTATGCTACAGAGGGCAGAAACTGGCACTGCAGAAATTGCATTCTCAACTATTCACTCCCATGTTTTATTATACCAGCCCCCTCCTCATTTTCATAGTGCTCAATGGCCCCGAAAGCTTTTCTCTTCTGCAAGTCACAATGATCGAAAAAGTTCCTTCTTTTGTTTTTCTGCAGAAAGACTGAGAACATTTACACAATAGATCCTGTGATAAATGTCTTAAAATAATTTTGATTTCTGTTGTAATCAATTTATATATATATA